CTTCACGAAGAATCTGAATCTCTCCTTGGTCTCAAAGTTTGAGCGAAAAAAAATGGAACCTCATTGATTGTTCTATCAAATATTGCATTGAGTTTTCGCAAAAATGCAAAAAAGTTCTAAAAGTATTTGATCTGTATCTTTGTGAAAATAAGGTCTAATCCTAAAAACTTTATTACCAAAATGATCAGCGCAAAAAGTTCTACGAATCCTGAAAGTTTTAATCGATTTGAACGAGGTCGGTGGATCGATCTGGCGACTTCCCATGGATACACCCTATAATCAAAACAAAAATCAATCTATTCTAAGTTTTGTAAGAATACGAATTATCGCCGATGATTCTCTTATCTATTTTGGCTAATGTTGAAAGATAATTATTATTCATTTCAAAATAAAAGAAGAGTGATTGTTTTTTGAATAACTCTCAAACGGAAATAATGGATAAGGTAGATTAAATGGCCACGTTTTGCATTTCAAATGTCAATGAGATTAAAATAAAAAAAATACACCACAAAATTCAGCTTGAAAAGCTCTTCGATTTACATAGGACAGCTAATTTTACAGTTGTAATTTTTGTTTACAAAATCGACAAAATTCTGAACAACCAAATTTCGGCCCTGCGAAAACGCTATTTTTTTTGGTAAAAGACGAATTTGTTTCTTTTTTTCTCATGCCAAGTTTTTATAATTGTTCTTTGTAAATTGTAGAGCTTTTGCACTCTGCGTATTATGGCATATTTTGTTTTTTGATGCAATGCATTAAGTGATTGAAAATTGAAATGCAAAGTGCGAGCATTTAATCTGCCTCACCCGTTGTATAGTTTAAAAATATACAAGCTCAATTTGAAGTTAAAATTGAAAACTTATCATATTAAATCGAATGTTCAACAACACATAATCGAGGAATAAGTTTTTTATTAATCTTTCTTTTGAAAATTTTTCTTATAAACTTTTAAGGATATTGAAAATCAACGATATGTTGTTGAACGACGTCAACAAACATTATTAATTAAATATTTTCCTAAATCAAATACATAGTCAAATCTTTCTTTTTTTTTCTTTCATTTTCAATGTATGCAATAGCAATATCTAAGTTTTGTATATACATTCTTTTCTTGTATTACTTTATAGAGAATATTCAAAAATGTGTTTTATTGATTTGTTTTAGATGAACAGTATTAGTAGAACATAAAAAAATAAAATGAATCGAGAACCTTGGTACGATTAAATTAAAAAGGATAATATTCTAAATGATTTTTATTTTGTTAAATAAAAGTCCTTGGCGTATTGTGGATGATTGTGGTGGTGCATTTGCTTTCGAGACAATTGGTGGTACACCCACACCCTCAAGAGAATTTTCAATAATGAAATTAGTTTATCATAAAAATATTATTTCACTATTAAATGCATTTACACCATTATTAACATTAGATGATTTTAATGATGTTTATATTGTTATGGAATTAATGGATGCCAATCTTTGTCAAGTTATTCAAATGGATTTAGATCATCAAAAAATATCTTATCTTCTGTATCAAATGTTATATGAAATTAAACATCTTCATTCAGCGGAAATTATTCATAGAGATTTAAAATTTTTAAATATTGTTGTTAGATCAGATTGTACATTAAAAATTCTTGATTTTGATTTAGCTAGAACAGCCAGTACTTCATTTATGATGACTCCTTATGTTGTTACTGGATATTATAGAGCACCTGAAGTTATTCTTGGAATGGGTTATAAAGAAAATGGTATCTCTTCTATCATATTAATAATTATTTTATTTTTATTTATTTAGTTGATATTTAGTCTGTTGGTTGTATTTTTGGAGAAATGATTCGTGGTCAAGTGATTTTTCCTGGATCAGATCATAAGTTATTTATTAAATAAATAAATAAAATATTTTATTTATAAAAAAAAAATATTAATTAATGAAATAAAATAATTGAACAGTTAGGAACATTATCAAGAGAATCTTTTTATCTCATTTTACAACCAATAGTTAGAAATTATGTTGAAAATCGACCAAAATATTCTGATTATTTACTTGAAAGATTATTTTCAGATCAATTATTTCCACCTGATTCCAAACAAAGTAAATTAACAAGTTTGTTTCTTTTTTCTTTATTTAAAAATAAAATCTATTTTTATTAGCAATGTTTAACATCATTAGCTCGTGATTTACTTGGTCAAATGTTACTTATTGATCCAGAAAAACGAATGTCTGTTGATGAGGCTCTTAATCATCCATATATCAATGTTTAGTATGAAGATTCAGTAGTTAATGCTGTAAGTTGTTCTTAGATTTTTATTTAAAGAAGAAAAAAAAATTATATTTATTCTTCAGCCATCTCCCGATCAATATAACCATTTAGTTGATGAAAGAGAATATATTGTTGAATAATGGAAAGAATTAATATTTCATGAAGTTCTTCAATATGAACAAGATCAAATTAAAAAATATTCTAATAGAGATAAACAACAATAAATTGATCAACCTATGGAATAATTATTATTCAATAACGGGAACAAGTGATTTTTACAAATAAAATATCCTATTATATTATTTGTTATATGGACAAAATTAGGTAAAACAGGACATTTGCACCTTTCATTTGAGGTTTATCCTCTATAAGAGTGAATTTTTTGGATAAATTCTTTTGTCATAGGCTTATGTGAAAACATTTGATCTTTCGCATGGTTATTAATTAATTAATTAAAAGTAATCAGCGAATATCTCGCTAACCATATGAGAAGAAAATCTGAAAACTTCAGGATAGGCTCTAGGATACAAGCTGCATCTATGATAAAAATTTCAGCAAGATTGGACTCCAATAATTTATTTTGAAAACTGGGTTTCAAGAGAGATCCTAAAAAGTGAAGAAATGAAAACTTTTCTCTTATCATCATCTAGGGACTCTGAGTAATGATTTGTAACGTTCGAAGTCGATTTTTAACTTTTCAGTTGATTACAAGAGCACCATGTCGATTGTGTAGTCGTACTGCGTCACGTCGCTAACGACAAATAAATCGGTTCTTTCGAAAAATCTAGACATGCATAGAAAAAATTTTACATATAGACTTTTATAGCATTAGAAGCCATCTACAGAATGCCCTTATTTAGTTTTCTAAAATAGTGCATGAATTGGGAGTTTTTAAAACCTAAAATACACGAAGTGAAAATCGATGTCCTTTTTTGTGTTACGTCGCTAACAAATGATTTTGTCCATATGTTCTTCTGTTTGTTTTTTGTGTTGATGATAATCATTACTATCTTTTAAATAAATATTTTATTGAAAAAATATCCTATTTCAACAATATATACCTACATTTAATTATTTTATTATCATAAAATAGACTCCATAATGCATATTTATTAATTGAATATATTTTCAAGAGAAAATATATCATAGATTCATATGAAATTAATCAACTACATAGTTTCGATAGTCGATCTATTTTCAAATGATCAATATCTGATGAATCACTCTTTTTTATATCACTTGAATGACTAAATATCTTATTTGATTCTATTTATTCAGGCTTGTCGTTCGGATTGTGTGAATAGAGAGATGGTTTTTTTTCCACAAATTCTATTATAGGCTTCCTTGTCTTTTCTCTCTTTTTGTTTCATTCACTTCGAATTCGAATGGCTAGGCCTTTTGATTCAATGCATACCCTGAAATCATCTTTTTTTTCATTAATTCTATTGCAAACTGTCTTATGTTCTCTCTCTTTTTCTTTCATTCGCTTCGAATAACTAGTCCATTCGATTCAGTGCATACCCTGGAATCATTTTTAATGAATTTAAATGTTCGCAATAACGATAGAAAAAATCATGTGCCTTTCTCTTATAGATAATGTCCACATATATATATATATGTCACAGTACTGTTTAGAATATAGTTGAGTTCGGAATCATCCTAGTTCAGATTGGAATTCTGATTTGAACTGGGACATTTAAGAATCTTAATTCTTACTAGTATGATATAGAACGATCTTATGATGAACTAGTTCGATTTGGAATTCTAGTTTGAACTAGGATGGTTTGAGATTCTAATGTGACCTATTCATA